CACAAGGAGAGAAGGGCAAGAAATAGTTGTCTTTTCTCTGATGTTATGAAATTTTTTACAAGAAAAAAAAACACAAGGGAGAAGGGCAAGAAAATCAAAGATATTCAAGAGCTTGAAAATCAAGGCCGTTATGAAATTGTTTACAATCAAGGCCGTCTGAGATGATCTCAAAGTCCTAGAGGAATAACATATTCAAGAGCTTGCAAATTCTCACCCTTGACTCGAGAATTTGAGAAGATGAAGATAAAGAAATCAATTGAAAGGGAATTTTTAGAATTCTCTCAAGAATAAGGAGTTTTCAGATGCAAATGATGTGTTGCAGAAATAAGATTGTTGTGATTATGAGAAAGATGATAAATGAAGAGTTCATGAAAGAAAAGATTTATATCTAAAAAATATTAGATATTTACAAATACTAAGGCAAGGAGGAGTTGTTAGTAATAATTTGCCTTAGTAATTTGTTTTGTTTTTTACTATTTTATTGAGTTTTTGAGTAAGTTTTTTGATGTTGTTTTTTGTTGCAAAATTTTAGAGATATGGTAACATAATTTCAGATTATATGAATAGTGGTTAAAATAATAGTAGGAAGTTATCAAGTAGTGGAAATCATAGAAAGTTGGAAACTATACATGTTCTCTTAGTCTATAAATAGTTAATCGTTTACAAGGAGTTATTTGCTCTCTAAATCCTAAATATCCAAGATTCTATTCTCTCTCTCCTTCATTATATTTTTTAAGCCTTATTTTTATGTCTCTAAATATTACATGATCGTTCTGGATCATAATCTTTGTGTTCGTCCTCCAAAATTCGACAGACGCTACCAACGTGAATATAAAAAAAGTGACAATAATAATAGTAATCAAGTCATGAACGTGAATATATAGGCAGCCCTGCATCCTTTCCTAATCCAGGACGGGATGTATTACAGTATTTTGAACGGAATTTAAGGAATGAATCCGATTCCTATTTTGAAAACCTTTTACGCTAAAGAATAAAACTTTGCTTATGGATTGCAACAACATTCATTATTATATTTACTGTTTTCATCAGGCGACAATTCTTCCTTTTTCGATTCCTGGTTCAAATTAAAGCGCGTACATATATAACAACGCTGCTATTAGTTTTGAAAGTTATGGATAGAAATTGGTAATAGCAAACTATATGCTTTTCTTCAAGTAATAATGGGATCTTGAGTAGAAGTGCTTGTGTGGTGAAACTAATAATAATCCTACACAAGTTTTAGGAGGTTGCCAGACTTTGTTACCTACCTAATTATGTCCTCCACAGTTGAGTTAGATTAAATTAATTTAAATATTTGTACCAAAAAAAAAGTTAATTTAAATATAATATTTATCCGTTTAAGTTTATCTTATCACTTTTACCGGGGGAAAAAACTGACGAAACTTCTATGCAAAAGTGTTAGCTAGGATGTAACTTGAAACCTTTAACAAGTTGATGATTCAGTTTTATGTTAAGTGCATGTGATCTGTGTAAATTAAGGGGCACTTTCAATTGTTCATATACTTCGGAGTTTATACGGTATAATCTCACTACGAAAAGCAAGATATAGAAAAGGCTAAATTTCCTCGATGGTTGTTGAGAACTTATCGATTTGACAAAATGTTCATAAAATTACTTCATCGGTCCCAAATAAAATAATTCGCTATGAAGTTTCTAATTCATAAAAAGAAAATTATATATCAAAATTCAATGGGTATTATTATTATTATTATTATTTTATTTTTTTGCACTAATGGAGGTTTTTTTTTTTCCATTTACAATTTTGTTCCCTGTCGGATGATGCTTTTGTTCCCATTATGGTATCAGCGTATCGGCAAATTTGAAAGGCATCTATTTCGGTTTCGCACTACTATATGCTCATCATCCCGAGTTACATGATTTTACGTCCTGCATAATTTTAAGTATCTTTGACGAGACTTTTAACGTCATTCTTATAAAAAAGCATAGATGAATATTGTGGATAAAAAATAAACATCACCCACAGAGGAAAATTCAAACTAAATAATAATTTCGAGACAGAGAAATCTCAATAACTAGTACCACCAGGACATGAATGAAAAAATAGCGCGTTTGATCAATAAGTGGTCAAAAATTGGGGACAAAATATAAAGTCAGGCCACATATTGCCGTGTATGAGAATCGGCCTTCAAATTTTGTTTTCTTTCTCATTTGACATGGTCTCTAGAATGTGCAGAAAGAAATCTTAATTGCTTTTTTCCTTAACAGGATTGTTTCATGGACTATTTATCGGCAGTTTTTGTTCATCAGTATAATCATACTCCGGTCAATACCTCACAAAATTATTTTTGCGACAACTAAAAAATACCCGTGTCTGAAATTTTTTTCGGACTTCATCAACATTAATTCTTGGCGATCAATGTCGAAATCTACACTTCTCTCTCTTCTTTTTGTTTTCTTTTAATTTTGTAATTGTGGGATATCGGTTGCTATTATTCTTAACTCTCATGATTTCTTAACAAAAACAAAAAATCAACAACTAATTTTTTAAAAAAAAAATAAATGAAATAATAATTTGTGACTGATCGGCACTGGGGGATCTAGGGCATATATATATTCATAATATTATTTTAAACAGGCTTGTACAGAAAGTTAGGGGAATTGGAGGCTGTATTGATCAAGAGTTAATAAAATTTTTTACCTTTGATAAAAAAAATATTTTAATATAATAAGACAATCACTAATTGATGTTTCATGCAATTTTCACTCTTTCTGCCCTAATTTAAATTCTCTTAATTGCCTTTTAGGTTGATTAAATATGGTCATCCAAAGTGAATTTGTATTACTCGGCATTATATTATTCAAAACAAATTCAAAAAATGTTACACGTTATTGTGAATTATAAACTGTCGTATACTCTTTTCAGATATTACACTCACCATTCTAAATTTATTGTCTCAAATCTCAATGTTTTTGAAATTCTTGTTATTTATTCTTTTTCTCTATTCACGAGCATAAGTGTCTTGGTTTTTTTTTTTTCATCAGAATTCTCCATTTTTTTTTAAAAAAATAATTTATTAATAATAAAGAAAAAAAATAGAGCAGCGAATATACTAAACCCTATATCAAAAACAATTTTAATCTTAAAGTAAAGTTGAATTCTTGTTCAATCTAGCAGACCGACAAACTTGAACTTTATTTTTAGCCTTGGCTTTCTTCGATCGATTGTGGTATGTTGGAGCCTGATGTTTGCGATGGTTTGCACAAGGCCAGACATAGCTCATGCAGTTGGTGAAGTTAGTCAGTTTCTCTCCAATCCTGGTAAGGAGCATTGGAATGCTGTGAAGTGGATTTCCAGGTATCTTAGGGGTACTTCTGGATTGAGTCTTTGCTTTGTGAATGGGAAAACCATGTTGGATGGATATACTGATGTTGACATGGCGGGTGACCTTGATAGTCAGAAGTCTACTTCTGGTTACTTGATAACTTATGGAGGGGAAGCAGTTTCATGGCAGAGTAAGTTGCAGAAGTGTGTTGCTTTGTCTACCACAGAAGCCGAGTTTATCGCAACTATTGAATCTTGTAAGGAAGCACTTTGGTTGCAGAAGTTTCTACAAGAGCTTGGCATGAAGCTAAAGAGGTATGTGGTGTATTGTGATAGCCAGAGCGCTATTCACTTAACGAAGAATTCCACATTTAATTCACAGTCGAAACATATTGATGTGAGATATCATTGGATTTGGGATGTGTTGGAGTCCAAGGGGTTGTTTCTTGAGAAAATCCATACGGATGACAACAGTGCCGATATGTTCAAAAAGACTGTGAGTAGAGACAAGCTCCTGTTTTGCAGACAGGAAGCGAGTTTGGTTTTACCCCCTAATTGAGGTGAAGGGAGAAATTGTTGGGCCTTTCCAATCAAATTTGACCCAAACCCAAACCACTTTCAGTGGTGGTTGACCGAAGGAAGAAAAGAAAATCAAGTCCAACTTGGTTTGATTTTTGGTGTTGGTTGTGGCTTATAAAAAACCATGGTGGTTGTGCTTTGGATGTGAGTTCGGCCAAGGAAAAACAAGGGCAGCCGTGCAACATCTTTTGTGCACGAGAGAAAGGAGAAAAAACTAGGGTTTTGGAGTTTTGGTGTTGCGAGAAGAAAGTGTTTCATTTTGAGGCTTTGATCGAGTGATAAAACAGAATCAGTTATTAGTGCAAGTTTGCATGTGTGTTCCTCTCAACAAAATCTACAATTCCTCCGGTTTAGTTTTCAGTTTAACTCTCTTTGGTGAGATCCTTCCAGTCCCACTTTGTGATAGGTGTGTGTGGAAGAGTATTGTTGTAATCCACCTTTGAGTGAAGTCCTATGTATCCACCAGTTGGTGAAGACTCTCATTATTGTGATAGTGGAGATTTAACTGTTGTTACAGTCCCGTGACTTTTTTCGATTTGGGTTTTCCTCGTAAATCCGTGTGTCTATTTTACCTTATCGGTTTTTTGAATTGTTTGCTTGTTTGGTTGTCATATTTTATTGGTAGTAGGAAATAAGTTTTTCCGGAGATTCGTTTCCGCTGATTCGTTGAGTTTATGCCACAATACCTTTTCATTACAAATTTTGAATTTATGAGAATATAAACCCTTGCTACCTCATGTTATTAAACCATATTTATTAACACCGATTGATCCATTTTCAATGTATCCAAGGTAATTCTTTGTCAGATTTGCTTGCTTTCTGGTATTTGTATGTAGTACTCAAAATAGGCTGAAAAAGATGTTGCATCCATATATTTTTAACTGGAGGAAAAATTTCGGAAACGCATAATTTAACAGCAAAGAAACAAACAGGTTGACTGGTTCCCCCAAAACACACATATTTGAAGAGGCTATAAATACCGATACAAATTTACGTAGCCTTGCACAACATAAAATATTTTCTTCACTAGAAAATTTTAAATACAACTGTAACTGAAGATCGATCAATGGAGTTCCACGGATTAATGTGTTCTTTTTTTATTTTATTGTTCATCGGAATGAACGAATGTAGTGGGTCCCGGTTGACCCACTTCGACCAGAGGACTTCTCCTGTCAAGTCCATTAAGGTTAACAGTTTTGGTTTTGTTGAACGGTTTTAATTCAATAGATGAACATTTTAATTGAATCCCTTTAATTTTTATTTAAACTTACAACGATTTTCATCAAGCATATTATTATTTTAATGGTTAACAGAGTAGGGATGGCGATGTGATAGACTGTGTGCATATCTCTAATCAACCAGCATCTGATCAACCCTTGGGTAGTAACAATGATCTACAGGTATGATCAAATCAAATCAATGTCGATACATGATCAATGTTGCTCAGTTACAAGTATTTTTTGGGTTCATACATTTGCACTGACATTGAGAAAAAACGATAAGTGGTTACAATCTATTTAATACATTTGCATTGACTCTGATAAGTGATTGCCATCTATTTAATTGATTCCTAACACACAATAAGAAACTGTTTCTGATACGCAGAAAAGGTTGAGCAATCCCATCAACGCAAAGAAATCAATACCACAAGCATGGCATTTGGAGGGTAGTTGCCCTGATGGAACAATTGCCGTAAAAAGAACAACACAAGAGGATCGGATTCGGGCTAACTCCATCAATAGCTTCGATGTCAATAGTATGCATCAAAACAGTTTTCAGGCAACCTCAAACACAGATACTTCTGCCACCAGCACGGGTTTTCACCAGGTACTTATCCTTAGTTAATTTATTTTTAGAGTAATGATATATCCAGTGACTAAGTACAGTGAAAATATATAGTGACAAATGAAAACACAAATACACCGTCCACTCGCTAAACATGTCTATTTTTTAATCAAGGGTAAAAATATAATTTTGGGAGGAAAATAAAACTTCAAGGGGAAAGTAACAAAAAACTAAGGCCATTATTATTCCATATCAGTCACTATATTTTGTCACTATTTTCACTCACTAGGAGTATCATTTTTTCTTATTTTTATTTAATTCTTTTCCAGTTTGTTTAAAAGAGCCGGGATAATAGAACTCACATATGTTTAAGAAAAAAAAAGATAAAACACAATATCATTTAATTCGTTTTTTTCATAGGAGGCTCTAATATATGATATCTATGGTACCATAAAGTTTCTAACACACCTTGCATACTAGTGTATCTAGTCTGTCCATCTCCAAAATAATTACACATTTTAAATTTTTATGTTTTAGTTCAAATTATAATAAACTTGAAATTTTAAGAAAGACAATTTTTTATGGTAGACATAGTACTTTTATCTTTTTTATATATATTGATTGTTGTATTTTTAACTCATTTAGAATTGTTCTAATCACATTCAAACCGATCTCTTTCCACTGATTTTATCATTCTTCTCCGATTTTACATGCGATCATTTAATTTGTTTCTCGTTCCTTTTTGTTTTGCTTTCTGGATCTGGACCAACTTTCACTTTTGCGTTTATAGTATGCTACCGCGTATGTAATTGGAGAAGAGTACTATGGAGCAATGGCAACCATGAATCTATGGGCCCCCAAAGTGAGACCCAATGAGTTCAGTTCATCGAAGATTTGGGTTATTGGAGGTTCTGGTTCAGATCTGAACGTTATCGTAGCTGGTTGGCATGTAAGTTTACTTACTGTATTTGGCATAAAATAATTTTCTTCATTCAAAAGTGAAAATTTAAATAAGACGATGGATCATGGTTACATAGCAACCTGACCCTTTTAATTGTATGTGATTGATCATGGTTCATATTGCCATCTGACTCGTCTAATTATTGTTGTAAAGATAAGTCCGTACAAAGTTTGAACAATTCGCCAAAGAACTGTGAATAAAATGAGTAATGATATTAGGAAATGGAGACTGATAGTTATGGATACATTAGTAGTATAAGTGCCTGAAACAAGAATGAAATAATCATTAAATAGTATTCTTTTTATTTTGCGGAATTTTAGTTGATTAATGTAATCTATTTTCTTTGTTTGAGCAAAACCAGGTGTACCCTGGATTATATGGAGATAATAAAACAAGGTTTTATACCTATTGGACTGTAAGTATCAACTAATTCATGCATCAATATCACTTGATTATTAAATTACTAATTAATTATTTAATTAATTGCAAACTTTGGTCTTGTTGTTTGTTCCAAACGTGGAAAAATTGAATAGGGTGACAACTTTCAGTCTACTGGATGCTACAACTTGCTCTGCCAAGGCTTTGTGCAGACTAGCAACAAATTTGCATTAGGAGCACCCTTTCCCGAACTTTCAGAAATCGATGGTTCGCAATCTGAATTTACTGTGATTATCTTTAAGGTACGAAATGACCTGATGATTTTCAAAAATAGTTATGAAAAAATTAAAATGCAATGAAAACCCTAGGATAATTACGATATCTTTTTATTTGGAATCCTAATTAATTATTTATCAGATTCTATGCTAAAATAAAGTTCGTTCAAGCTTTAGATTACGAATGGTATATGTCTAGTACTACTACGAAATTCATTTTTCCTTTTATGCTTAACGTAATTTCCATGATCACCACAACAGGGTAAAAATGGTTGGGTGCTGCAATTTGATGATTTTGTACTTGGTTATTGGCCATTTTCATTATTTACCAATCTCAAAGACAATGCATCATGGATTGAATGGGGAGGCTTGATTTTGAACTCAAATATTGGTGGCAAACAAAGTACAACAACTCAAATGGGAAGTGGTCATTTCCCTGAAGAAGGGCTTAAAAGAGCAGGTTATATGAGACAACTCCAAGTATTTAATGAGTCCTTGTATTCAAGAAGGCTTGACTCTCCAATCGCGATGGCTTCACACCCAAATTGCTACAATATAAAATTGTCCAAGAACAAGGTTTATGGAGATTTCATTGTATACGGAGGCCCGGGCAAAAACCCTAAGTGCCCGTAACTAAAATCACCCAAAAAAGTTCATTCCCATGTTGGGATAGTTATTTATATAATGGGTTCAACCCTTTTCATTAGAAAGTTACCACGTGAAATGCTCTGTTTGTTACATGGACAAAAATTTCCTCATCTATCTATTAAGAATTATATGTAACCTTTCTTTTTCTGAAGTGCAAGATTACCTATCCTTTAAGAGTGCCTTTTTCCTTTTGCATTAGATCGGGTATTGCGTTATGACAATCAGGGTTTCATTTCATGAATCCCAATGCGTTGGTTCAAACGAATGCTTACAAAAAAAAAAACAAAACAAAAAAAACAAAAAAAAAAATCAGCTAGTGCTTACTATTGTCACCTCTTCTCCCATTTGGAATCTGTATCTCTTGAAGGCTCAAATATAGGCCTACATATGGTTCCACCTTAAAACCAATTGATGATAATGGAAATGGCACATTTGGTTACATATTGGTTTCAAGAGTCTCCAGATATCCATGTGGGACAAGGTTATATTCTCAACACCCCATATTAAGCCCGAAGGGGTTAGACAAACCGGATAAACTACCAGATCAGTAAAGGCCCAGATATAAGTAGGTAGGTAGAAGAATTAAAAATAAACCTTGTACCACCTTAAAACCAATTGATGATAATGGAAATAGCACATTTGGTTACATATTGGTTTCAAGAGTCTCCATATATCCATGTGTGATAAAGTTATATTCTCAATACTCCATATCAGGCCCGAAGGGGTTGGACAAACCGGATAAACTGCCAGATCAGTAAAGGCCTAGATATAAGTAGGTAGGTAGAAGAATTAAAAATAAAAATCTCAAATTTGGATAAGTAGAGGAACTAGAAATAGAAAGCCCAGATATGAGTAAGTAAAAGTAAAAACCCCAAACAAGTAAGTAAATCAGACCCAGGATATGACCGCTGAGTCAGTCAAAGCCCATAACTCAAGTTATACAGATCCGTGAATAAAACCCGCTCTGATACCATCTTGAAGGCCGACATGTGGTTCCACTTTAAAACCATTTGGTGATAATGGAAATAGCACATGTGGTTATATATTGGTTTCAAGAGTCTCCGTCTATCTATGTGGGACAAGGTTATATTCTCAACAGTATCTATATTTCAAGGCATGAATTTCGTCTGGTAAATGTTGTATTGCTTTGTCAACAAGTCACTGTACAATTTAGTTACAATCTGTTGGCTACACTTGCTTTGACTCCTAGCCCTACTAGAAATCTATCATCACTAAGTTTCAACTTTTTACATTGATTTTGAATTTTCTTTATGACGTCATACTGCAATAGCTCCATTCTTCTTTCAACAATCCATTCCTCTTCTCCAAATCTCCTCATATTTCGTTCTCTCCGAACGTGATATATCACAGCATTTAGACATGCATAGAGTGTGCTCCTTTTGACTTAACTAAACTTTCAAATTCTCAGGATATGTGACATATTCAGGTTCCTGACAGCCAATCCTGAACTTTATTCATTAGTGCTAATGAGTAGTTACAGCTGAATAACAAATGATCTGCTGTTTTAGATGATCCATTGCAGAGTTTGAAATCTATCCACTATTTGCGGCTTATCTTTCCAAGCCAACCTACTAATGAAACTGTGCTTTGGAATGGTGAACTTATTCCAGATGATCTTTTGCTGCTTTCCATCTGATCTCTTTCCTCTCAGCCATTCATAACCAGACATAGTGGTGTAAGTCTTATCTCCATTTCCCTTCCATAAGCCTTGTTTAACCCTTTCCTTTATATCTTTCTTTTAGTTTTATCAGTTTCTTCAGGTGCCAACTGCTTGGGGTGCTTTATAATCCCATATGTGTAAGGAACTAGTAAAATTTAAAATTTAATTCCATTTCTTTAGTTTCTACAGAAAATTAGGAGAAAAAAGGAACTAGTAAAGCATAAAATATAGAGTAATCTGTTCAAAAGGTCCTTTACATTTGCCCAAAAATTTAATTTGGTCCTTTACATTAAAAACTCACATATTTGGTCCCTTACATTTGTCTTATCAACTAATTTAGTCCTTTTTATCTTTTTTGGCCCTTTACATTTGTGAGTTCTTGGGTTGACCAATTCTTTGTCAACTCAATAGGGGTATTTTCGATAATTTATAAATATCAAAAATTTAAAATATGTTAAAAACCAAAAATGTATTAAAATAATACTAAATATACAATATTAATTTATAATTTATTATTAAAAAAGAAAAAAAAATTAAAAATTAAAAATTCAAATATAATATTATTAAAAAAAATTTAAAAATTGAAAAATAAAAAAAATCGAAATCTGGTTTATTTTTTTTAACCTGTGGACCCCAATCGAAACTTTTTTTTTACCCAATTTTTATCCACCACTACCGGACCATCTCTGCCGCCGCCAGGCGGGCCACTGCTGCCGACGGATCGCCGGCAGCTGGTATTTTTTTTACCCATCGGTCCTAATCGAAATTTTTTACCCTTGAATTATTCTGTTTTTATCATGTGGGTTTAACATCCAATTTTTTTCTTTACCCTTATTCAGTATTCTTAAGAATAATTCAGTGTTCAGTGTTCTTAAGAGCAGCCATCTTATTCATTGTTCTTAAGAAAAAAAATAATAATGAATAAGGGTAAAGAAAAAGATTAGATGTGGGCCTCACATGATAAATCACATTTTAAATTATATCTCAAACTCAAACAAAAAAAAAAAAAAACTAAACCAAAAACCAAAATAAATCATTGTCCAAATAAGCCCTCTGTTTTTATCATGTGGGGACCACATCTAATTTTTTTCTTTACCCTTATTCAATTTTTTTTTCATCAATTATTTTGGTGTAACAAAAAAAAAATACTGAATAAGAGTAAAGAAAAAAATTAGATGTTGGCCCCACATGATAAAAATAGCATAATTCAAGGGTAAAAAGTTTCGATTGTGGCCCACGGGTTAAAAAAATCAGATTTTGATTTTTTTTAATTTTCAATTTTTAAATTTTTTAATAATATTATATTTTAATTTTGAATTTTTAAATTTTTTTCTTTTTAATAATAAATTATAAATTAATATAATATGTTTAGTATTGTTTTAATACATTTTTCGTTTTTAACATATTTTAAAAATCTGATATTTATAAATTACCGAAAATGCCCCTATTGAGTTGACAAAGAATTGGTCAACCTAAGAACTCACAAATGTAAAGGGTCAAAAAAGATAACAAGGACCAAATTAATTGGAAAGACAAATGTAAGGGACGAAATGAGTGAGTTTTTAATGTAAAGGACCAAATTAAATTTTCGGTCAAATGTAAAGGATTTTTTGAGCAGATTACTCTAAAATATTTGTTAATGATGGGATATTGTTAACATTTATCAAGTATTTTATATATCTTATATTTATTTGTTTATTGCTACAAAATAGTTCATTTTGAAACAAATCGATCTGGACTTGATCAACCCAATTAGTTATAATGCATATCAAGCCCATCCCAAAAGAAAATACTTGTCCAGGCGTGCTTCCTTTTGTTTGTTTGTCATTTTTCCCCCTTTCTTAACTTTTATGGTTTGTCAAATTCTCAAAAGAAGTTAATAAAATATTTCCTATGTATAAAAGAAATGTAATCTTTCTATTCATGAATTTTCGATTCGGCTATGAACGGCAAGTTTTTCAAGCCGTATCGGTGCCTACAAACAGAAAGAAAGGAAGGAAAAAAATCACTGATCGACAAAAAAAACAATTAAAAGTTTAGGGAACTCAACAAAATTTGATTTATTAATTTTATTTTCAGAATAATAAATTTTTTTTGGTACAACAGAATAATAAACTTTTAATATCTAATTATATAGCATAAATAACAGGGAAAACAGGTTTAGGTGTATTTGTGTCTTTCTCCCTCACACGTGTAACGAGCATCTCTCTCCCACAAAAATAGATAGATATATAGTGTGCTCTAGTTACGATTTCACCTCAGACGGTGAATTGTTACTACTGTAAATCCATTTGATAATATTGTACTCTAGCTACGATTTCACCCCAAACGGTGAATTGTCACTACTGTAAATCTATTGGATAACTCCTAGCTATAGATACTATATAATTTGCAGTAATATTCGATAATATGAAATATATATCTTATTTTTACAAACTAATCCGACAAGTCAACTCACGAATGCGCTGAACTAGACCGACATACATATCAATAACGTTTTTTTTCTTCTTCCAATTGAACTATACTGAAATTATCATTTCATCAAAGAAACATCTCACCATTTGATAAATACTATATGCTAATGTCTAAAAACACTCGTCATATTTATAATTAAGCACCAACAGAATGGAGAAAGTGAAAAAATATAACAATTTAAATATTTGAATTGTAATTTACGAATTGACGACTACATCTTGCAAAACTTAGACAGTTATTACTCCCCCTTTCCATAATTATTGTCTAGTTTGGATTTTTATTTTGAGTTCAAATTGTACTAAAAATGAAATCTCAATTTGGACAATAATTTTGGAATGGAAGGAGTATTATATATCATCAAACGACTTAGCACTAAATTAACATATACATCAATTACCGTATAAAAATTAAATCACTTTGATCGTTTCCCGTATTTATCATCATGTTTTAAAAAAACAGGGAAGTTGTAAGAAGTTGTAAGTAGTTGAAAGTACTTCATAACCATATTTATATTGATCTTTCCCCAACTCTCTCTCCGAAATTCAATCTTTCATGGTACCTAATTTGATCTTGTAACCTTTTTTTTTTTTTTTTTTGACCTTTTGCAATACTTCTCCTTTGATTTTCGTCCGTTGCTACCCTTCCAATAAATTCAATATGGGAAGCTGGAAATCATATTATTCTTCTCTTGACATGTGTAGGGAAACCGGAGTGAAAACCATTAGATTTATCTTAAACCCTTTAATTAGTCACCAAACCATCAAATTCCTATAGCTAAACAGAGAATATGTGATTGTTATCCGCAGAATCGTATCATGTGAAGGTAAAAAATGCATATTTTCCTGTTGAAAATGCATGTGTTACCAATAAATAATAGATCCATTCGCGATACATGCAAGACTATATTTCAGACAATTTTTTTTTTTTTTGTTTCTAGTTTTTTGTATCGTTAAAAGCAAACAAAAGAAAACGAGTCATCCATCAAATGGGAACAAGCAGAAACATTTGGCGATAATCATAGTTTTGCAGCAAACTGCTGAGGTAGAAAATTCTAATAAGTACCATCGCCAATACGCACTAGAAAAGCTTATAAATACCGATATATAGAACCAACTGGCCATGCACAATAAATTCTTTCGAGATCTTTTGAAGTAGAAGAATATTGATAATTGTGATTGATGGAGTCGAAAAGAATAATAAATTCTTGTTTGATGTTTTTGTTGATCTCAATGAACTTATGTAGCGGCTCCAGATTGAGTTACCTTGGTAAGAATACTCCTGTAAAGACCATCAAGGTTAGTTCTTGGACTAGAATTTTAATTTGTAGCGTTTTACTACTCATATGTCTCCGAAAAATAATTTACATTTAATTTTGAGATTTATAAATATAAATTATTTTTGCGAGACAACAAAAATACATTTTCACAGTACTTACATTATCCCTCTTGAATTTTCTTTGGGTTACAGAGTAAAGATGGCGACGTGATAGATTGTTTGGATGTTTCAAATCAACCTGCAATCGATCACCCATTGTTAAAAAATAACGATGTACAGGTCAGATCTAATCTTCGTTTCCTTTTCGAAATTTAGCGTATGACGAATGCTTCAAAATAACTTGTTGGTTGTGCGAAGCTATTATCATACGAGATTAGTATATTAGAGGTTTCTACTTCATCCGTTCTGAAATTACTGTAAAAACTTAGATTTTCATTTTAGTTCAATTTATATTAAAACTAAAATTATAAAGTAAATAATAATTTTGAGATTGAGAGAGTAATAAAGAACGCATTTTGCATCATTCCAAGTCTCACTGATATCAGTATTATTACTTTATCTGGAAAATATTTGTCTTATTTGTTATATCAAAATAATTCGACAAATAAGTCTCTTACTCTGGTCTTAAGGGAATAAAATTTACAGTCAATTTATCAAAAGGTTATAGTTTAGTTTGATGAACTAGAATATGAGTTTATATACGGAGGAGTTCTTAAGAGCAAAGGGTATAATTAATAAGTACTGCATTATTTTATAGCATTAAATTATTTCCCTTGAAAAATTGAAGTCCATGATCACTAAGCTCGTATGTGCCAATAATAATAAAACTAGATGCTTGTCCCGGGCAAATGCCCGGGACGTCCCACCTAATAAATCGATATGTAAATAATTAAAACTGATTAGGAATAAATTTAGTTTTTGATGAAGATAATTGATTGATCAGAAATTAATTTTTTCGGAAGTCCTAAATAAATGGAGAAGGAAAATTTCATACACTGTCAAATTCAAAATTTGAATGAACGTGACCATCTGATCTCTTCGTTAATATTGTAAATATATTTTTTATTTTTAAAATGAGGTGACACGTGGCAGAATGATTAATGCAATATGGTGAATTTGGAGCCAAAACATTTTAATAAGAAAATGACACATCAGCATTCTGTTTTCTGCTTTAATAGGGTAAAATGGATGGGAGAATTATCATTAAGGGCATGAGAAAAATTAAAATTATTAAAAAGGGCTTGCCATTTATTATTACAAGGAAAACAACTTTTATTGTTAGTTTATTTGCTTAAAAGACTATTCTATCCCTCTCATTAAACAAACAGTTCCCTCATGTAATTAAATTAAGTTTTCAAGTGCTAATTTTCTCCACCTCTCACCGAGATGTCCTCCTTTACGCCGGTGCTGCGCCTCCATTTAACCCACAATTGGAATCTGATTTGTTTGATTAAAATTATGTTATTTTAGAAATATGTTTAAGTCTTTTTTTACTTTTGTCAACAAAGTTTGTTCCGGTTTTTTTTTTTTTTTTGCAAGTTAGTTCAAAAGCAGAAGTGGGGAGTTTTTTTTCCCTCTTTTTATTTTGGGTAACATTGAATTTAGTTGGTGCTGAACAAGGTGTTGAAAAGGAGGGTTTTGATGAGTATGAGAGCATTGTATCTTATGGGCTGCAGGGGGGAAAATTCAGAATAACAAATTTATGCACTTATGGAGAATTGGTAAGTTGAGATAAAAAGAAGTTTTAAAAAAAATGGGGCAAAAAGCCACCTAAAAAATTCAATTACATGAGTTGGTAGGGTGAAATGGTCTTTTTTTTTATTTAAAGAAATATTAAAAGTGTTTTTAAAGCTGATTGAAAAATCTATGCCCTTAATAATAAACTTTATTTTTCCAACTCCGTTAATGATAATTCTCCCGAATAAAATTAGTGATGGTATAAAGGGATTCAGGTGTAGATTTTTCGTAGTGCAGGAAAAGCCCACCAACTCAATAACACAATCATGGCACTTAGATGGAAGTTGTCCAGATGGAACTATTGCGATTAGAAGAACTACACAAGAAGAAATGTCCCGAGCTAACTCAATCCCCAAGACCAAGGGAAGCAGTTTTCAAACAGCGCTATCAAATCCAGAACTGAGTTCTTTTGCTGCCGGCGGTGGTTTTAGGCAGGTATGTATGCGTAGGTATTTACTATTTATAGTATATAATTGTAAATACATTACAATAATAAATACGAAGTAATAGAAAACTTAGTTGTCGCGATACAAATGGATGGGAACATGCAATATTTTTTCATATTAAGTACTCGGTGTTCGAAATCTCTGCTTCGACTAATCTAGATTTGAGCCGAAATAGGACCATACATTACATATTGTACGCTCGGCATACAGGTAACTTACCTATACTTGCGAAAATATATAGGGTTATACTCTATTTACGATTATTCTTCTGTTGCAGTATGCAACTGCATCTGTGAGTGGAGACAAGTACTATGGAGCAAAGGCACTCATCAACTTATGGGCACCAAGTGTTCGACCTAATGAAGTCAGTTCATCGCAACTTTGGGTTGTTGGAGGTTCTGATTCAGATACCAACGTGATCCTTGCAGGTTGGCATGTAAGTTTCTACATGAGATTGTTGTTTACTTTGTTAATTTTTTCCAAGTACATGAGATGATATTTTGTTGTAACCATTTACACGATTACACGCGATCTCTATTGGCAATTGTCAGTGGTGATTTAATTTAACAATATTTAGACATAAGGACACAGGTGATCAAATGAAATGTAAATATCAAATGAAATGTAAATATAACAAATATAATGTTCTATATTTTGATGAAAGACAAAAAAAAAAAAAGGCCAAATATATATATAAAAAAAATGGCATTGTTACACGTACTCGAATGATCTAAACTTAATTTTCAAGCGATCAATTTTTTTTAAATTAATTTTCTTATCTCAAATAATTGAAATCAGGTGTTCCCAGAATTATATGGAGATCACCGGACAAGGTTTTACACGTACTGGACTGTAAGCATCAACAAATTCAGGCGTACTATATCTATCACTTTGCAATTTGAATGTGATTATATTTGTTAATTTCAAATTTGTGACATATTCCTTCAGGGTGACAATTATGAGTCGACAGGATGCTATAACTTGCAATGTCAAGGATTTGTGCAGACTAGCAACAAATTTGCGTTAGGAGCACCCTTTCCCGAACTCTCAAACATCGATGGTTTGCAAGTTGAATTTTCCGTGACCATCTTTAAGGTAATAATCATGTCGGGTAAAAAAAAATACAGTAGCAAGCATTTGATTATATATAATCAAATGAAAGTGTATGAACCGTAAGTATTGTATTAGGTTTAGTACATATATATATAGGGTACAACATACATATAAAATTATAATAATAACCCTATCTAACCCTAGTACATATACACTAACATCTCCCGTAATCTGAACGGGAGAGACACAAACATTCAGATTGTCTCGAAAATTAGTCAAATTCACTTATCATAACTCATTACTCATATTCTTTTTTCTTTTTGCACATAATCTTGATTGATTAGGGTCAAGCTGGTTGGTTTCTGCAATTGAATGAATTCATACTAGGTTATTGGCCATTTTCATTATTTTCAAGCCTTAACAATAATCCAGCATCTTCTATTCAATGGGGAGGAATGGTTTTCAACTCACAAATTGATGGAAAAGAAAGCACAACTACTCAAATGGGCAGTGGCCAGTTTCCAGACGAAGGGATAAGGAGAGCAAGTTACATGAGGCAGCTTCAAATAGTTGATGAGAACTTTATTTTAAGAGGTCTTGACTCTCCCACTGCCTTGGCTTCCCAACCAAATTGCTACAATATAGAATTGGCAAATGACCTCAATTGGGGAGACTACATTCTATTTGGAGGTCCGGGAAGAAACCCTAACTGCCCATGATTGACCAAAATTACATATGGAGGCACTTTCTTATTGTTTCAACCTCTTTTCATTCACAAACTTTTTATGAATTCGGGGGTTAATTGTGTTTTTGGTTTTCTGGTTTTTCCCCTTTATGATTTATTTGACAATATTGCATCATTTCCCTTTAAGCTAATATAAATATACATACTCTATCCGCCCCGAAATAGTTTTCAGTCTGTATTTTCATTTTTAAAACAATTTATACTAAAAAGTGGAAATTCAAACATTGTAATTATTTTGAGACAGAAAGAGTAATTAATACAATATAACATAATTTAACTAAATTTAAGGGACTGTTTGACTCTGAAAAATTGTACAAAACCCATTCATTTTTTTATTTTTGCATATTGTATCCCAATGTATCGCGTTCCAGCGAGTTACGTACCACATTAGACTAGCAGACCTTTCATCGGAGTGAACCTTTTTGGAGATAAAGAGTCCGTTTAGATTGTTGTTTTAGTCTATGCTTTGTAATTTTTTCTATTTGTTTGTTTGAAATAGGTTGTAAGATAAATTTTGAAATTGATTTCAAAAACAAATTTTTGACCAAAAAACAACTTTTAGATAACTACTGTTGATTGCTACTGATCGACCGTGGTCCAGCCACGGTTTCACCACTGTAGTGACGGCCGGTGATGGTTAATAAGACTAGTAATGGGTGGGAGAAAAAACTAATTATTTTTTTGTGAAGAGCGCAAAACAAAAATACTTCACCCGTCCTATAATTATTATGCAGTTTGAATTTTCATTTTTAATTTAAATTATAAGAAACATGAAATCTCAAACCGAAGAATAATTTTAGGATAGAGTGAATACAATTTTTGGTTTCAAACAGACCCGAAATTCTCCCAATAAATAATCTCATTGCATAAAAGGACGTGACCACCTCTTTACTTTTTGTCCATTTTACTTCAAATGTAAATCGGAAAAGTTCTGGTAATGAGTGCCCTTTTTGAAACATTTTTTGGTTGGCTCCCAACATAATTGATCATGTATTAATTACATCAATTCTTATATGCAATACTCCTTCATTCCAAAATAAGTGTCGTTTTAACAAAATAGAAAAATTTCAAAATAAGTGTCATTCTCACATTTCCATACACTTTTTGTCCAAAGTTTCTAAAATTACACTCAAAAGAATTAATACTATTGGTAAACCATTTTATAATGGGATTGGTTGAGGATATTCAAGTAATTTTATTACCTTATTTAAGAGTTTCTTAAAATATGTACAAAGTTTAGCATGACACTTATTTTGGAATGGAGGGAGTATTTCTTTTACTCTTTGTACTGTTTTGGTTTTTTTTTTTTTTTTCTGAAAGGGTGCTCTTTGTACTGTTGGGTAATCGAATCAATACTTACTATTATTATTACTCAGGAAAAGTAACCCTCAACTGAAACCCGGCCAAATTTGAGAATTATGATATGGTGTAAAACATGATAACACCGATTGCATTTTTAATGCAAAAAATAGTGTATTACCTCTATCAGACAACAATCTGCTAGCCTGGATAGTCCTCCCTGTTAAATTTACAATCGAATGCTTTATACCAATTTTTTTTTAAGGAAAAACACCGTAACCTTATGACCAAAAATAATAATGCATGGGACGTTCAAGATGGTAGAAAAGGAAATTTACTATCATTTTGTTTTCTGTCTGTCAACTTTTGCGCGCCATTGTTTGCGCTTCTCTCCCTTTTGGCCTACAAATCGAGCATTTATTATGATGTTACTTATTAATTTTTGTCGTTCCATTAATTCTTTCCAATTTATAATAGAAAAAGTTCGAAAATTCGACATGGACTTGATCAATAAAAATAAATAAATCATCATGCATTTAAGGTCTTAAGGTATATAATTTTAACCTTGTACTTTTGCTTTTATTTTTTTACTTTGCTCTTAAACTTTTATTATTTGTCTACTTCAAAAAAGTACATGGACAAAATGTTCTCATTTTAGCTATAATGCTATGAAACGGTAGTGCAGTTCACGCACGTTTTTATTTTAGTCCCTAAAAAGTTCCCAAAAAGCCAAAAAACAAATACTCAAAATTGATTCATGAACAAACATTTCATACCAAGAAAAAGACCGTCTTACTGTTGTCCTAAGATGTTCATAATTTTAATTTTGTGAAAAGCGAGTAAATCTAATTCAAAACTGGCCTAATTTAGTTACTTTTCTTCTTTAATCTCTACGTATTCAATAACAAATGTTTTTTCCATCTATTTATGTTTGAATATCAACAATCATGAGGGAAATAACAAACCTAAAGTTTTTCCGTTAGTTCTCCTACTTACCATGATATTAATTACTCCTCCGGTCGTTATTATAATACATTTTGATTTCGTCCTAAGTTTAACTTAAGATGTTTTTTTATTTAGAAAAAAATCATAAAATATATTTTCACATTCGTTCTGTTGTCCTAATTATTATGAAAAGAATTTTAAGAGTTTTATTTCAATTAAAAAGACTTTCTAGTTGAAACATATGACGAAATCAAAATGTTTTATAATAAGGACCGAAGGTAGTATATATTGAGTAGACTTAGTTATTGCCACATAGAGGGAATGCCCGACAAATAATAATATAAATCGCTTTTTCCCCCCTTTTTATAAACATACTAGGTATGTTCCGTCGCGCGTTGCGCATCCAAATTTTAATTTGCATCGTTATGTTCTATTTGTGTTCGAGAGTTTTGCTGTGTTAAAAACTACTTTGAAACTACAATCTTGAATGTGTATTATCAATTGAATGGTTATATAGGATATAAAGTTGCCGATAAATACTCATATTTCATTGTTGAATTTGCTCATATTTCATTGTTGAATTTGCTTGCGCATAACTTTGCTTGTATTCATTTAGAATTTTGGAGGTTGGAGAGTTGGAGTGATTGAAGAAAGAATGAAAGACTATACTCAAACACCGCAATTCTAAAGCATCAAATCTAATAATTGCATTTCCTTCGAATGTCATTTTTATAAGAGAGGAGGGAAACCTGAATATAATGAGCTTGGAGATGTACATTTCAGGCGTAGCCATTTGGGTAAAGTCCGACTGATAGCAGGCGGGTAGCCATCTGAAACATGGCAGTGACAGACGATGGTTGAGGCACAGAAGTCTCGCTATCTGCAATAACAACAAACCAGGTGCACGACTCTAATGTCACCACACATCATGTGCACAAAACTTCATCTTAATACATTATATACACAAACAGATACACATCTGATTCAGAAACTAACGTAGACTGTTCAAACTACAATGAAATGATGAAGCACAAAATGACGTACAACCCACCGTAAACAAGATACCCACACTTGACATGTTCAAGCCACAGTAAAGACCTGAATACCATTAAATACATAGGTCCTCCTAAATACATCAGCCAAAACATCAAACTGCCTTTTGCCAAAACCTTTCTTTGCAGCTTTAGTATGACTGTAGAGGAATAGGGACATAATCCAATGAGTAGAAAAAAAGAAGAGAAAAAGCACCAGCTGCACCAACAAATGCGTCACCAGGAAACCACTTTTAGTAAGGTCACGATTCCAGAACCAGATTCCTGTGGTTGCCGCCACGTCTGTTCTAAAGAAGGACATGTGGATGCAAACATTTAGGCATTAGGTTTGCTCCTTCCATTGAAACTTCACATCAAATTAAGAAGAAAAATTTCAGAAAACTAAGAAAATACTATAGCTATGATTATACAGTAACATGATATTAAACTATATATGAGCACACCCAAAACATGAAGTCCCTTTAGGGGATAAATTAAAGAATGATATTTTCTGATAATTCACAAACATGACAAAGCAAAGTCCAAATACCAAATTTTTCCAAGCTTTATAAAAGTATCTGAGCCCTCAAGAGGAAGAAAACAGATCGACAACATAAGAATGACATTATGGCTAAACGCAGATTTGTTCCAAACAACTCAACAAGAAAGCAACAAGTAAATGAGCCTGGAAACCAAAACAAATGAAGTATATGACTTTTCCCTTAGCACCAGCTCAAAACAAATTCACAGAAACAATGACAACTAAATACTGCCTTTAGCCAAACAATAGCCTAAGGTAAAATTCGATCATGCGTGAAGACACAGAGTTTTTGCTCAATATTTCCACTCAAAATATTCTTGTTATTAAGATTATGTTTTCACCAGCCGCACATAGAATATTAACTTCGAGCATCTCACGGATGAAAGATACCCGAAGTATTAAGAAAACCCAGTTAGCGGACTCATTTGCTCATGCAACTCAAGTTAAGTCAGCCTAATCTTTCAACTAAGGTGATGCAGCATAATCAGACAGCTTCGTAGCTTGGCGTTAAGGATAAAAGTCTAATTCAATGGATACAAATTAACTTGAAGAGTGGAAAAGTAAAATGCTTCAAAATGCCAACTACTGTAACAAATTCTGAAAAGACTGACAAAAAAGCAGCCCAAAAGAACGCAAAACATAATGTTAGAGGTGACACATTGTAAATCTTGTTCTTTCAAATTACCGAAAGAGAATAAACTATAATTATTGAAGGTATCTCCTTATCAACTACTTCATTGTCCTTTTGATTCATGAATGAAACGATGATGTTTGGTTAGGACAGAGTATCATCCACGTTTACCTCTAAAGTCGTTCACTCTTCTCACCGAACCTACCACACTTAAATAAGGTAGCATCGAAGATCCGTTCTTAATTTTTCAAAAAAATAGGGCAGCACTGAAGATTCCACAACCAAAAACCAGCAAACAAATGCAAGCAGCACTATCCTAAAATTAATTTCCATTTTAGATTTTCAATTTTAGTTTAAATTTAACGAAAAATATAAAAATCCAAACTTGAAAACAATTTCGTGATATAAGGAGTTTCATGTGGACAGAATTTTGGAAATGACTTCTGTTTGCGTTTCCCCTTTTTAGATCATTTGTTTACACTTTCAAGTTGAAGTAATTTATGAATTCTTCATAAAATTCAGGGCAA